CTCACTTTCTCACGATGCTCTGCTCCTTTTTCCACTTCTAGACGGTCTAATTGTTGCTCCTGCTCACTTTGTTTCTCAGACGGTCTAATTGTTGCTGCTCACTTTGTTCCTCAGACGGTCTAATTGTTGCTCCTGCTCACTTTGTTCTCAGACGGTCTAATTGTTGCTCCTGCTCACTTTGTTCCTCAGACGGTCTACTTGTTGCTCCTGCTCACTTTGTTCCTCAGACGGTCTACTTGTTGCTCCTGCTCACTTTGTTTCTCAGACGGTCTAATTGTTGCTCCTGCTCACTTTGTTCCTCAGACGGTCTAATTGTTGCTCCTGCTCACTTTGTTCTCAGACGGTCTAATTGTTGCTCCTGCTCACTTTGTTTCTCAGACGGTCTAATTGTTGCTCCTGCTCACTTTGTTTCTCAGACGGTCTAATTGTTGCTCCTGCTCACTTTGTTCCTCAGACGGTCTAATTGTTGCTCCTGCTCACTTTGTTTCTCAGACGGTCTAATTGTTGCTCCTGCTCACTTTGTTCCTCAGACGGTCTAATTGTTGCTCACTTTGTTTCTCAGATGGTCTAATTGTTGCTCCTGCTCACTTTGTTCCTCAGACGGTCTAATTGTTGCTCCTGCTCACTTTGTTTCTCAGACGGTCTAATTGTTGCTCCTGCTCACTTTGTTTCTCAGACGGTCTAATTGTTGCTCACTTTGTTCTCAGACGGTCTAATTGTTGCTCCTGCTCACTTTGTTTCTCAGACGGTCTAATTGTTGCTCCTGCTCACTTTGTTCCTCAGACGGTCTAATTGTTGCTCCTGCTCACTTTGTTTCCTTCTCAGACTGTCTAATTGTTTGCTCCTGCCTCACTGTTGTTTCCTCTCCGACGTCTACTTGTTGCTTCCTGCTCACTTTGATTTGCTTCAGACTGGTCTTAATTGTTCGCTCCTGGCTCACTTTGTTCCTCAGACGGTCTAATTGTTCTCCTGCTCACTTTGGTTTCTCTCTCAGACGGTCTAATTGTTTGCTCCTGACTCACTTTGGTTTCCTCAGACGGTCTAATTGTGCTCATGCTCACTTTGTTCCACTCAGACGGTCTAATTGTGCTCCTGCTCACTTTGTATTCCTCAGACGGTCCTAGTTGTTGCTCCTGCTCACTTTGTTTCCTCAGACGGTCTAGATTGTTGCTCCTGCTCACTTTGTTTCCTCAGACTGGTGCTAATGTTGCTCCTGCTCACTTTGTTTCCTCAGACGGTTCTAATTGTTGCTCCGCTGCTCACTTCGTTTCCTCAGACGGTCTAATTGTTGTTGCTCCTGCTCACTTTGTTTCTCAGACGGTCTAATTGTTGCTCCTGCTCACTTTGTTTCTCAGATGGTCTAATTGTTGCTCCTGCTCACTTTGTTTCTCAGATGGTCTAATTGTTGCTCCTGCTCACTTTGTTCCTCAGACGGTCTAATTGTTGCTCCTGCTCACTTTGTTTCTCAGACGGTCTAATTGTTGCTCCTGCTCACTTTGTTCCTCAGATGGTCTAATTGTTGCTCCTGCTCACTTTGTTCCTCAGACGGTCTAATTGTTGCTCCTGCTCACTTTGTTTCTCAGACGGTCTAATTGTTGCTCCTGCTCACTTTTTTCCCTCAGACGGTCTAATTGTTGCTCCTGCTCACTTTGTTTCTCAGACGGTCTAATTGTTGCTCCTGCTCACTTTGTTTCTCAGACGGTCTAATTGTTGCTCCTGCTCACTTTGTTTCTCAGACGGTCTAATTGTTGCTCCTGCTCACTTTGTTTCTCAGACGGTCTAATTGTTGCTCCTGCTCACTTTGTTCCTCAGACGGTCTAATATTGCTCCTGCTCACTTGTTCCTTAGACGGTCTAATTGTGCTCCTGCTCACTTTGTTTCTCAGACGGTTCTAATTGTTGCTCCTGCTCACTTTGTTTCTCAGACGGTCTAATTGTTGCTCCTGCTCACTTTGTTCCTCAGACGGTCTAATTGTTGCTCCTGCTCACTTTGTTCCTCAGGCGGTCTAATATTGCTCCTGCTCACTTTGTTCCTCAGACGGTCTAATTGTTGCTCCTGCTCACTTTGTTCCTCAGACGGTCTAATTGTTGCTCCTGCTCACTTTGTTCCTCAGACGGTCTAATTGTTGCTCCTGCTCACTTTGTGTCTCAGACGGTCTAATTGTTGCTCCTGCTCACTTTGTTTCTCAGATGGTCTAATTGTTGCTCACTTTGTTTCTCAGACGGTCTAATTGTTGCTCCTGCTCACTTTGTTCCTCAGACGGTCTAATTGTTGCTCCTGCTCACTTTGTTCCTCAGACGGTCTAATTGTTGCTCACTTTGTTTCTCAGACGGTCTAATTGTTGCTCCTGCTCACTTTGTTCCTCAGACGGTCTAATTGTTGCTCCTGCTCACTGTTCCTCAGACGGTCTAATTGTTGCTCCTGCTCACTTTGTTTCTCAGACGGTCTAATTGTTGCTCCTGCTCACTTTGTTCCTCAGACGGTCTAATTGTTGCTCCTGCTCACTTTGTTCCTCAGACGGTCTAATTGTTGCTCACTTTGTTTCTCAGACGGTCTAATTGTTGCTCCTGCTCACTTTGTTCCTCAGACGGTCTAATTGTTGCTCCTGCTCACTTTGTTTCTCAGACGGTCTAATTGTTGCTCCTGCTCACTTTGTTCCTCAGATGGTCTAATTGTTGCTCCTGCTCACTTTGTTCCTCAGACGGTCTAATTGTTGCTCCTGCTCACTTTGTTCCTCAGACGGTCTAATTGTTGCTCCTGCTCACTTTGTTCCTCAGACGGTCTAATTGTTGCTCCTGCTCACTTTGTTCCTCAGACGGTCTAATTGTTGCTCCTGCTCACTTTGTTTCTCAGATGGTCTAATTGTTGCTCCTGCTCACTTTGTTCCTCAGACGGTCTAATTGTTGCTCCTGCTCACTTTGTTTCTCAGACGGTCTAATTGTTGCTCCTGCTCACTTTGTTCCTCAGACGGTCTAATTGTTGCTCCTGCTCACTTTGTTTCTCAGATGGTCTAATTGTTGCTCCTGCTCACTTTGTTCCTCAGACGGTACTAATTGTTGCTCCTGCTCACTTTGTTTCTAAGGACGGTCTAATTGTTGCTCCTGCTCACTTTGTTCCTCAGACGGTCTAATTGTTGCTCCTGCTCACTTGTTCCTCAGACGTTCTAATTGTTGCTCCTCGCTCACTTGTTCCTCAGATGGTCTAATTGTTGCTCCTGCTCACTTTGTTCCTCAGACGGGTCTAATTGTTGCTCCTGCTCACTTTGTTCCTCAGACGGTCTAATTGTTGCTCCTGCTCACTTTGTTTCTCAGACGGTCTAATTGTTGCTCCTGCTCACTTTGTTCCTCAGACGGTCTAATTGTTGCTCCTGCTCATTTTGTGTCTCAGACGGTCTAATTGTTGCTCCTGCTCACTTTGTTCCTCAGACGGTCTAATTGTTGCTCCTGCTCACTTTGTTTCTAATTGTTGAAATAGTAAAATACATAAAAGAAAGCAGATAGTGTGATCTAAGGTAGTTCTCACGTTGTGTCAGTTCTGGAGAGCAGCTCCGTGTCGCTGTTCATCCCGGGGAAGAGGTACGGAGAAGATGCCGATCAGCAGATCTCCTTCCCGGTTCTCTGCAGCTTCTGGGCTCTCGCCGACCAATCAGACGCCTCCAAACGGAGCCTGAGGGCCGACGCTGTGCTGGGAACTGTGGTGGGTTCAAAGGTCACTCATGTTTAGATAATTTAACACCAGTTTGGAAAATAAAGTGTTTTTTCAGTGAAACTTAAGCTTGTTTGGTTCAAGACAGTGAGTTGATCGGCCTCATTCACAACCCGTTCCTAAATGTTCTCATGTGTTCTTGTGGAAGGTCCTAAGAAAGCCATGTTGACTTCCTAAACTGCAGGACCTGTGTTCCTATACGGAGGAATCAAAGTCACTCATGTTTGGATCCCTTAGGAACCACCAAACCCTTTATATTGCACAAACATTGCTACACTCAAATGTTCTCTCGAGTAGATTCCTTTCTTTAGAACAATTCAATGTAAGAAAACAATGTATTGAGTCTCAGAAGATTTGAGAAAACGTTGTATGCTTGTTGTTGAAGCTGCTGAACGAGGTCCATTTCACTGAACTCATGCTGTTTGTAGAGTAAAGAGAAAACAGGAAATTGAGACAATTCACTTTATTTGAAGGAAGTGCCCTTCCCTGACAAAATGACAGCACAGCAGATCCCCCGAGGATAATTAGAGCTGTTTGTTTCAGGGAGGGGGAAGGGTGTAAATAGACTTCATAACTGTCAAAGCTACTTTATATTCAGGTCACTTTCTGAGTCTCGTTACGTGTTTCTGAAGCCGCTCTCCTCTCTCTTTGGCAGGATCTGGGTCCGGTGTCCTCTCAGCTGGCGGACGCTTTCGGTCTGATTCTGCAGTGTCGAGATGTCGGGGGGGAACAGCCTCTGCACACCCTGCAGCAAGCAGTGCATTCTGGGAAACCCCTGTACCCCTCCTGCTGGGACTTCACTACTCAGGACTACCAGGAGGTCAACATGCATCACACAAAAATGTTGAATTTGGACCCTTTTAAAGCCGGTCTTTTCCACATTATGCCCCTGCTGTAGGGACACTGTTGGTTTTAAAGTAGCAGAGGTTCAACTTCCAAAATTAGAAAGTTATACCCATGTCAAGATCTATGCCTTTGCATTTATACAGCCAATACTATTTAAAACTGTACATTTTAAGAAGCCAAAATGCCCCTAACTCAAGGGTAACATTACACTCTGTAATACTCTTGAATGTTCTGCCTCCAGCTGCTGAATCACGCTCAGGGTCTGAGAGTGGAGATGAGTCCTGGAGCAGAGAAGATCCTCCATGGATACTACATGGCCAGCAGGAGAGTCCGTACTCAGAGTCAGGGAGTCAAGATCTCTGTGGCCTCCATCAAGCTACTGTAAGAGTTCCATAACAGAGAGAAGTACACATCCTTTACTCAAGTAGAAGTACACACATCCTTTCCTCAAGTAGAAGTACACACATCCTTTCCTCAAGTAGAAGTACACACATCCTTTCCTCAAGTAGAAGTACACACATCCTTTCCTCAAGTAGAAGTACACACATCCTTTCCTCAAGTAGAAGTGCACACAGCCTTTCCTCAAGTAGAAGTACACACAGCCTTTCCTCAAGTAGAAGTACACACAGCCTTTCCTCAAGTAGAAGTACACACAGCCTTTCCTCAAGTAGAAGTACACACAGCCTTTCCTCAAGTAGAAGTACAGATACTCGTGTTTAAAAATACTCTGGTGAAAGTAGAAGTACTGACTAAACTTCTTTACTCAAGTGAAAGTAAAGAGGCTTTGAAATGTACTTCAGTAGAAAGTACCCATAACTAGCAGCTGCTTTAAAGAGTACCTGACCTCCCTTTATATTAATAGAACAATAATGTCATTGTTAGCTAATGAATGTTTCCATGCTGAACAACGGCAACATGACAACGTTTCCATTGGTCCCTCTTCTTTAGAGAAGACCAGGAAATGATGGATACACGGATCGTGTTCAAATCAATAGGCACGCAATGACTCTAAAGAATAATGATCACGCATCAAACACACATTCAGACTAAAGGAACCAGCTGTTTGGAAAATGAGAGAAGTAGAAAGTACAAGTATTTGAGTTCAACATGTAAGAAGTAGAAAGTACAGGTATTTGAGTTCAACATGTGAGAAGTAGAAAGTACAGGTATTTGAGTTCAACATGTAAGAAGTAGAAAGTACAGGTATTTGAGTTCAACATGTAAGAAGTAGAAAGTTCAGGTATTTGAGTTCAACATGTGAGAAGTAGAAAGTACAGGTATTTGAGTTCAACATGTAAGAAGTAGAAAGTACAGGTATTTGTGTTCAACATGTAAGAAGTAGAAAGTACAGGTATTTGAGTTCAACATGTAAGAAGTAGAAAGTACAGGTATTTGTGTTCAACATGTAAGAAGTAGAAAGTACAGGTATTTGAGTTCAACATGTGAGAAGTAGAAAGTACAGGTATTTGTGTTCAACATGTAAGAAGTAGAAAGTACAGGTATTTGAGTTCAACATGTAAGAAGTAGAAAGTACAGGTATTTGAGTTCAACATGTAAGAAGTAGAAAGTTCAGGTATTTGAGTTCAACATGTGAGAAGTAGAAAGTACAGGTATTTGAGTTCAACATGTAAGAAGTAGAAAGTACAGGTATTTGAGTTCAACATGTGAGAAGTAGAAAGTACAGGTATTTGTGTTCAACATGTGAGAAGTAGAAAGTACAGGTATTTGAGTTCAACATGTGAGAAGTAGAAAGTACAGGTATTTGTGTTCAACATGTGAGAAGTAGAAAGTACAGGTATTTGAGTTCAACATGTAAGAAGTAGAAAGTACAGGTATTTGAGTTCAACATGTAAGAAGTAGAAAGTACAGGTATTTGGGTTCAACATGAGAGAAGTAGAAAGTACAGGTATTTGAGTTCAACATGTGAGAAGTAGAAAGTACAGGTATTTGTGTTCAACATGTGAGAAGTAGAAAGTACAGGTGTTTGTGTTCAACATGTAAGAAGTAGAAAGTACAGGTATTTGGGTTCAACATGTAAGAAGTAGAAAGTACAGGTATTTGGGTTCAACATGTAAGAAGTAGAAAGTACAGGTATTTGGGTTCAACATGTAAGAAGTAGAAAGTACAGGTATTTGGGTTCAACATGTAAGAAGTAGAAAGTACAGGTATTTGAGTTCAACATGCAAGAAGTAGAATGTACAGGTATTTGAGTTCAACATGTAAGAAGTAGAAAATACAGGTATTTGAGTTCAACATGTAAGAAGTAGAAAATACAGGTATTTGAGTTCAACATGTAAGAAGTAGAAAGTTCAGGTATTTGTGTTCAACATGTAAGAAGTAGAAAGTACAGGTATTTGGGTTCAACATGTAAGAAGTAGAAAGTACAGGTGTTTGGGTTCAACATGAAAGAAGTAGAAAGTACAGGTATTTGGGTTCAACATGAAAGAAGTAGAAAGTACAGGTATTTGGGTTCAACATGAAAGAAGTAGAAAGTACAGGTATTTGGGTTCAACATGTAAGAAGTCAAAGTAAAAAGTGGTCAGGAAAATAAGTAGTGGAGTAACGTACTGATACCAGAAAAAGGTACTGAAGTACATAAACGAAGTATTTGTACTCCACTACTTCCCAACTCTGCAAATGAACTTATAATATTCTCACTTTCTGCCCCATAGCCTGTGAAGTCACAGTCCAGTGTAATACCACCTCTATCCACCAGATGGAGCTCTTTAATGACTATTTTTCATGTGGTCAAATCTGTTTCACTGTGGTGACAGAGTGACACTCTGTGAAATGGACTCAAAATGGCAACTTTAAATCTCTAAACATTTACATGATCTGCTCCTGATTTAATTGCTTCAACTATCCCCAACTTTATACACTTTTACATTACTTAATTATAAAAGCTCATTCACTTATAATACTTGTTTGTTTGTAGGATCTCTCTGTCTGAAGCTCACTGTAAACTGAGTCTCAGACCTAGAGTTGAGGAAGAAGACGCTGTGATCGCCGTGCTGCTCTGTGAGAACTCGGTCACTCTCAAACACGGTACCTTTCTTATTAAAACTTCACTTTTTAGAGTCATTGTGCATTCAAACATGTATGCACCCATGTACAGACAAGGTGTACAATAGCACAATAGGGGGCGCGTTTAGATATATGAAAGCGTCTCTTCACGACACGTTTGAGATGTTTAAATTTGCTCATACTTGACATCGCTATTAAATTCATTTTAGTATATCGTTTGTTTTCTGTAAAATAGTGAATTTAATCACTTATTTAGAGGCTTAAAATTAGTTTTCTGCTTCAGTCTTGCTTGCATATCAGTTATCTTTCATGTTATCATAAACATTTTAAACGGTGGGAATTGTTTCCTACCATTTAGGAAAAGGCACATTACACAAGATTGTATAAGTGTGCACTCCTTATCACCTTCGTAACACTAAAAACTATATCAATTCAGAATTACCCTAGTTCACTGACACATCCCAACATTATACATTTGAACCTGTTCATAAATATAGTTTATGCATAAAGATACTGTAAATACAGCTTCCCCATCACTCTACTGTTTCTTTCCGTGACCACGCAACAATTATTATTAAGCACCAGGGGTTTCAAACTCCATTTCATTTGATGTGGCCCGAAAAGACTTGAAATGAATGAGTATATTATATTCCGCTTTACAGAAGCACATAAACTACTTGTCCCACAATGCATCTCATTTTGTGACATGCACACTGAAGACTTATTTGCCCTTCTGCTTTCAGACATTAAGTGATTACCCTATCCCATAATAATCCAACGCAGAGGCAATCATGTCATATATTTATTTAAATAGTCTTAAAGTTACAACCGGCCCTTTGAGTGCAGCCATGAGGATGTTGCCCCGCGATGAAATTGACCCCCCCTTAATTTATTGATAAATACCATTGTGTCTTATATTTTATGCCAACGTTACATTTTAACCCACTCATGCATACAGTAAAAACAGCTTTCCACATTTTTTCTCCTGACCCTGCGATTATTCTTAAGCACCGGGGGCCTAAACAAACTATTCATCTAATAAAGTATATATTTATCTTTCCTCCAGGAGCCTCAGCGCTCATTATTCCCCCAGAATCTGTGTTTCCCTGCGACCTGAAACACGTGGACGGTTTGCAGCGGAGAGACGACATCCTGGAGGATCTGCAGCAGAACATCCTGAGATTTATTTACACCTACGCACCTGGAGCTGGATCCTACATCACCGAGGAGTAAAACCTCCAATCCAGAGGGTCAAAGCACAGGTAGGGCGGTCATAATGAACTTTAATATGTACACCGACTAGTATTTGTCTGCATTTAAAGATATGTGTTGTGTTTTTGTTCAACGGTATTCATTTACTATTGAAAATACAGAAACATTGTACGGGTTAGAGGAGCATGTGCTGGATGTCTCTCCCGTCGGTAACATGTACCCTTCGTAGGGCTTCACTGGATCTTAACTATACATTGTCAGACCTGACTGGCACCCAGTAACTATAGCCGAACCGCTCGCTACATGAAAAGTGGCACCCCAAAAAGGAACACACACGTTGGACATCTCTAAGGGATAAGACAATCTTTATTAACAGAAACACAAAAGAACTGTTAAGCAAATGTCCAATGGCTTCGGAGAGGACTTGGATCTCTCAGGAAACGCTGCCCTCTGGGGGTGATGCAGCGCACCCACACGGAGCGGTCATTAACATCTTCTGATCAGCATCTGAAGGAGAAACAGCACTTTGATTAATATCCACACATTTGATTGATAAGTTGTGAATGAGTTCATGAAGCTGGAGGTTCAGTTCGTCACAGCGTCACCATCTTGGTGTCTGATGGGTAAACGGCATGTTTGTAGAAATCATCACTTCTCCAGCTGCTAGAGTTGCCTTCGCTCGTCTAGAACACATTTTAGAATTCCTGCATTATTGATAAACTCACCTCCTGATCAGGTGCTTTTCTCAGGACGACTTCTGCAGCATCTGAGGGAGAAACAGGACAGAGATTAATATCCACTAAATACATTTAATGTCCCGATTTCAGTTTGCATGCTGGAGGTTCAGTTCGTCACAGCGTCACCATCTTGGTGTCTGATGGGTAAACGGCATGTTTGTAGAACTCATCACGTCTCCAGCTGCTAGAGCTCATTTTAAGAATTAAGTACATTTGACTTGCATAAGTTAATGCTGTTTAAATAACCAGGGTTGGAAATACTTTGACTACGAAGTTCAGTTCAAATTAGGGCTGCTCAATTAAATCGTATTTGAATCTCAATTACGATTATGGCTTGCAACGATTACGAAATAATACGATTGGTTTTTCATTTGAATTATACTTAAAGTTCAGGGTAATCAACTGTTCAAGAACATTTTATCCAATAAATTGATGTTTTCAAAGTAAATGGATAATCGTTTTTATCAATTATTGACCCAAATATATCGAGATTATGATTGGACATAATCGAGCAGCCCTAGTTCAAATTAAACAAAACTATTGGAGAAGCTCCAGATAATTTGTGAACTCACCTCCTGATCAGCAGACGGAGGATTGACAGAAGCTCCACATCTGAAGGAGAAACAAGAGATTAACAAAACATTTGGTCTAAAAGACGTGAATTATTTTACTGCGCTGGAGGTTCAGTTCGTCACAGCGTCACCATCTTGGTGTCTGATGGGTAAACGGCATGTTTGTAGAACTCATCACTTCTCCAGCTGCTAGAGTTGCCTTCGCTCTAGAACATTCATTTAGAACTCATTTGAGAAGCTCCACATTATTTATAAACTCACCTCCTGATCAGGCTTTGTTTTCAGGACCGCAGCACGACTTCTGCAGCATCTGAGGGAGAAACAGGACTTGGATTAATAAAGAAAGTTACTCTAAACAGTCCTGAGGGATTTCATGAAGCTGGAGGTTCAGTTCGTCACAGCGTCACCATCTTGGTGTCTGATGGGTAAACGGCATGTTTGTAGAAATCATCACTTCTCCAGCTGCTAGAGTTGCCTTCGCTCGTCTAGAACACATTTTAGAATTCCTGCATTATTGATAAACTCACCTCCTGATCAGGTGCTTTTCTCAGGACGACTTCTGCAGCATCTGAGGGAGAAACAGGACAGAGATTAATATCCACTAAATACATTTAATGTCCCGATTTCAGTTTGCATGCTGGAGGTTCAGTTCGTCACAGCGTCACCATCTTGGTGTCTGATGGGTAAACGGCATGTTTGTAGAAATCATCACTTCTCCAGCTGCAGAAATTACTCAACTAGAAAACATTTTTGAGAAGCTCTGTATCATTTATGAACTCACCTCCTGATCAGGCGTTGTTTTCAGGACCGCAGCAGGACTTCTGCAGCATCTGAGGGAGAAACAGGACTTGGATTAATAAAGAAAGTTACTCTAAACAGTCCTGAGGGATTTCATGAAGCTGGAGGTTCAGTTCGTCACAGCGTCACCATCTTGGTGTCTGATGGGTAAACGGCATGTTTGTAGAAATCATCACTTCTCCAGCTGCTAGAGCTCAACTTAAGGGCCCATGTCATGCTTCTCCGGTTATCACCCGTCCCCTTGTGTTCTGAAGGTTGTTCTGCATGTGAACGGTGTGCAGAGTCAAACCCCTCAAAGTACACCCTGTAGCGAGTAAAACTCTAACACAGAAAATACCTCCCCAAAACGCCTCGTTGGAGATTTCTCATTGTTTACTTCCTGGGTGCTACTAGGGATACCCAGTAGCCACGCCCAGAGCTATGACCAGGCTGATTGGTCCAAATTGACCAATCCACGGACTTCCTCACACACTCAGTGCAGGCAGCTCTGCTGATCTCTCCTCCCTGGCTGCAGGCTGATTACAGACAGTTGGGATCGCGGCGAAATTCTCTCTGCGTTTATCAACCTTCTTCTTTCTCGATATCAAGCCACACTTATTGTTTTTACTTCGGCTGTGACTTTGTGTGTGCTCAGGATGAGTTTGGCTTTGTTTCGCTAAACAAGGAAACCACACGCTCAGCGCGATTCACAACGTCCCGACCAATCAAAGCACACTGCTCACAGGGAGGGTGGGGGCTGGAGCTACTGGAGCTCCAACGAGCCGTTAAAGGGAGGCAATGCTCATGACACGCATTTTTAAATAATTATCATCCGATAAAACAGACCAGTCTCTACCAGTCTTTTTTTTTTATCCGATGACGTTATCAGTGATTTTAAGCTGATTAATTACCGAAATAACATCAACCCTGTGGGCGGCGCCATTTTGACGAGTCACATGACTTATTTTACCGGAAGTGACGTGAACTATGCGTTTGGTGTTGAGGACAAATTGACGTATGTGCTTTGTTCATGTTGTTTACTCTTACAATTCTATAGAAATATGCCTCATTGTATCGCGAAACATTGCCACAATTGGGATAGGAACAATCCACGGAATGCTCGGTTCCATCTATTGCCAACGGGTAAGCGTAGGAAGTACGTTCGGAGGCAGTGGCTAGCGAAATGTGCTCGGCCCGAACCGAAAGATCCACAGGCGCATGTATGCAGCGAACATTTCAAGTTTCTGGACGACTACTCTAAGAGTATGGTGAAACATACAATGGGATTTATTAATCAACCATTACTTAATGGGGATGCAGTGCACTGCCAATGCCAGCCAGCGTAAGCACATTACTCAGCAGACTTTACTTATTGTTTACTACGTAAGGAAGCAGGAATTGCAGGACCCAGAGCGCACGGAGCACAGAGCGGACAGCAGATAACGGAATTGCAGTTTTATTGCTTATAGATTATCAGAACATTTCAAAGGGGACACAGCCACATTGGATATTAACCTATGGATTAACTACATCATCGTTTTTATCGTTGTAATGCCATTGAAGACCAGACAAAGACCAAGGTAAGCCATGTTAGCCTAGCGCATGTTAGTACCTACCGCCACTTGTTTTGATGTACGTTTTTGTTGATAACGTCGCGAGTTTGTATCTTTCAGTGTTGAGGTGAGCACCGTTAGATTCTGTGTCTTTACGATCATAAACGATGTGTTGGATGTGCAGCTAGGATAAGTAATAAGGGAGCTAGGAGTGATTTCCGGTGCAGTAATAGGTTAGCATTTTTCGCTCTGGGCTAATTCAGAGGCTCACTGTTAGCATTGTGTGCTTTTTTTTGAAGAAAAAAATGAAAAAGATCAGTTAAGAGTTTTTTTCCCGTTATATGGATATAAAATATTCATAGTTTATTAAATATTAAAGTTCCTTAGACGTTGTTTCCTGCAAATGACGCGATTTGGGCCCTGGAACCGGGTCCGTGGGGCCTAAGAGGATAACAGAGTATGTTTTTTACAGTTGTATTTGGATGCAATGAATACCTATAGTGATAATTCAAAGTAAGTCCGCCTGGACTTTATTTTTCTAAACTTCTTCCTCGGCTGACGAGTCCGAACTCAAATACTCCGCCATGTTTTTGTCGAATGAGCTGTTCGTGTGTTTACAAAGTGAACGCATAGATGACGTCACAACCTAGTTTTTCGGACCATGTGACTACTGAAAATGGCAGCTGCCTGACGGAATATACAGGTTTTGATAAAAAAAAGAGCTATAAAATCATTATTTACCGGGGAATATCGCTGATTCCTTCAGGGTATGGTTTAAACATAATGTTTCACTAAATACTGAAGTTTTTATTAACTATCTAATGACTGGAGACTTCCTTTAAGGCAGAGAGTGAAATGCAGTGAATAGAGTTTACAGAGATGCTGTGAGAAACCAATGAGTTTGAAACATTGCACAGTATAAATCTATTCTAGTAGACCTCAACACTGGAATTATGATCAGTGGAAATGGCCATGACATGGGACCTTTAAGAACCAAGTACGTTTGACTTGCATAAGTTAATGCCATTTAAATAACCAGGGTTGGAAATGCTTTCCTTAAAATAGCAAGCCAAGTTTACATCGAATTAAAAACTATTGGAGAAGCTCCAGATAATTTGTGAACTCACCTCCTGATCAGCAGACGGAGGATTGACAGAAGCTCCACATCTGAAGGAGAAACAAGAGATTAACAAAACATTTGGTCTAAAAGACGTGAATTATTTTACTGCGCTGGAGGTTCAGTTCGTCACAGCGTCACCATCTTGGTGTCTGATGGGTAAACGGCATGTTTGTAGAACTCATCACTTCTCCAGCTGCTAGAGTTGCCTTCGCACTAGAACATTCATTTAGAACTCATTTGAGAAGCTCCACATTATTTATAAACTCACCTCCTGATCAGGCTTTGTTTTCAGGACCGCAGCACGACTTCTGCAGCATCTGAGGGAGAAACAGGACTTGGATTAATAAAGAAAGTTACTCTAAACAGTCCTGAGGGATTTCATGAAGCTGGAGGTTCAGTTCGTCACAGCGTCACCATCTTGGTGTCTGATGGGTAAACGGCATGTTTGTAGAAATCATCACTTCTCCAGCTGCTAGAGTTGCCTTCGCTCGTCTGGAACACATTTTAGAATTCCTGCATTATTGATAAACTCACCTCCTGATCAGGTGCTTTTCTCAGGACGACTTCTGCAGCATCTGAGGGAGAAACAGGACAGAGATTAATATCCACTAAATACATTTAATGTCCCGATTTCAGTTTGCATGCTGGAGGTTCAGTTCGTCACAGCGTCACCATCTTGGTGTCTGATGGGTAAACGGCATGTTTGTAGAACTCATCACGTCTCCAGCTGCTAGAGCTCATTTTAAGAATTAAGTATGTTTGACTTGCATAAGTTAATGCTGTTTAAATAACCAGGGTTGGAAATACTTTGACTACGAAGTTCAGTTCAAATTAGGGCTGCTCAATTAAATCGTATTTGAATCTCAATTACGATTATGGCTTGCAACGATTACGAAATAATACGATTGGTTTTTCATTTGAATTATACTTAAAGTTCAGGGTAATCAACTGTTCAAGAACATTTTATCCAATAAATTGATGTTTTCAAAGTAAATGGATAATCGTTTTTAATAATCGTGATATCAATTATTGACCCAAATATATCGAGATTATGATTGGACATAATCGAGCAGCCCTAGTTCAAATTAAACAAAACTATTGGAGAAGCTCCAGATAATTTGTGAACTCACCTCCTGATCAGCAGACGGAGGATTGACAGAAGCTCCACATCTGAAGGAGAAACAAGAGATTAACAAAACATTTGGTCTAAAAGACGTGAATTATTTTACTGCGCTGGAGGTTCAGTTCGTCACAGCGTCACCATCTTGGTGTCTGATGGGTAAACGGCATGTTTGTAGAAATCATCACGTCTCCAGCTGCAGCACAATTAAAGTGTCAAATACTTCACTCACCTTCATCAATCACAGCCACGCATCTGCACACCTGAAGAGAAAAGACAACGGATTCAGAGTTAATACATGTGTCGTTAGCAATCTCTCCAAGTGACTCATGCCTGTGGCATCATGGGACCATGACAGATGGAGAAAGATCTGTCATTCAGAAATATAGAATATGGATCGACCCGGTCCGAAATGTGTCAGTAGCTTTCCAGAGCGCCTTAATAATGACTCAGGAGTGACGTATTGATTTGCGGCCGGCATGAATAATCTGTAGTTTAGAAGCAGCCGATATGATGATGGATCACTGGAGGGGTCAGAGGTCACAGTGAAACACAGCCTGGCAGCATGCAGGTTCAACAGCAGGTCACGACCTCTAACACGACCTGATTCACTGAGGACGCCTCTATCTTTAGATCCGTCTGAGGGATGATTTATGGTTTCTGCAGGGACCACAGCTACCTGTCCAGAGAGTCCATGAGATGGAGCTTCAAGTACAGATCATTCATAAAGTAAGATTTAGGATATTTTCAATGTAATATTCCATTCCTTACATACTTGAATAAGATAATACTTTATTGATCCCAAAGCAGCATAAAAAGACATGGCATTAACAAGAAAATATACATGTTGAATTTACAAATGAACAACAAGATATAAAGCAAGTTATTATATTTACAGAATGTGAGAGGTGGAATAACTTGCTTTATATTTGTAATTCAACGTGTATATTTTCTACTTTTTTGTTGATGCAATTTATTTTCTATTTGAGATGTTTACTGTCTGCCATGACCTCTGACTGCGGTCCAGATTTACTGAGGACGCCTCTATCTTTAGATCTGTCTGAGGGATGATGTATGGTTTCTGCAGGGGCCACACTCCATATCTGTTCGGGGACTTGAACCGGCGACCCTACGGCTCACAGTCCACTGACTGAGCCACTGCCCGACAGCTACCCGGTTTCAAAGATAAAATACGTCCTCCACAAATTAAGATTTAGGATGTTTTCTTGTCAAAAATGTAATCATCACTTTCAATGGAGTTCAATGACATGGTAATTAAAAAGGCTATAAAACTTTATTTACATTTTGTATTTGATTGAAATTACTATTAAGATTGAAGGTAATGTGACTGGTCTGTCCGCAATGTTTACAAAAGGTGCATTATGAACATTGTGCTGGACAGTAACTAAGTGCATTTAGTACACATTTAAAAAAGGTAGTTGTAGCTTCCTTATTTATTTATTTAATGTATTAAACATGTCAGAAAATGGTACTTTACTGCCTTTAGCTACCATGCAGATTAATATAAAATCACATGTTAATCCCTGACAGTGGGCTCTTTAAAGTTAATAAATAGCCTCGCTTTTAACAGCTGTAATTATAAACCCTATAATATATACATTATTCTGAAAGGTGTCACTCTGCATGATGACTTTGCATTTAATAGTTAAAGCCCATTATGATAACCTGCAGTTTAGCATCTTTTGAATGCAGGAATGTAACTATGTATTCTCTGCTGTGAGCATCAACACTGATCCCTCAGGTGAATCTGTGCAGGATCTACCTGGAGACCGTGTGTTGTGTTGCACGTGTTACGGTGCTCTGCTGCAGAAACATATCAATAATAACCTCGCAAAGTTAAACACAAGCTATCGTATCAGATGATATCAAAGCTTTACCCCCTAGTTCTGAAGCCTCCTGTTGAGCCACGTGGCGGAGCTAGCTGTGAGCTAACGAGCTAACATGCATCTCAAACCACGTGGTTCTAAATCCCCTCAGTGAAAACATGAACATCACCTCAGTGAAAACATGAAGTCCTCTCTCTGCTCCTACCTTCATCCTGCAGAGAAACATGAGGAAGTTTCTCAGTTTCTCTGTGAGGGAGAAGAACTGCGTTCTGCTCGTGGCTGTTCATTCAGGAAAGAGAACTACATCCGGGTCCTTACGCATTAAATACGCCTCGCACATGCGCACTGGGTATCAGGGAAAGAAAGTACTTTAAAGTAAAAGTACTAACAGTAAAATAACTTTCTAACATCTATAAATGAATAAGCATCAAAATATACTTAAATAACAGAGTTAGAGTTTAACCTTAATTAACTGCAATCAACCTTTTTGACTTATTTATGATTATATTCTGTATTAATAATCCTAATAAAGGTATTAAAGTAGTAAGATAAATGTATAGTGAGGGGAAAGTAATGAGATGTAATGCAGAAGTATAAAGTAGATGATGAAATACTCAAGTGAGGAATAAATATGTATACCGTCAGTAGCTTCATTGAGTTTACTCTCATATTAAAGGTAGAATAATTCATTTAAACACCAGTTTTGTGAGGAAACATTTTAACCAGTATAGCACTTCAGGATCCAATGTTAAAGTTTTAATCTACCATTTATTAATATTTATATATTATCACACGTGTTATTTCTGCAGCATAAGCACATCATCATCCTTTCCTTTAGTTGACCTTATATGATACTGAACAAAAGAGCTCAAATGTCCTAATGACAGTTCAATCAGGAGACGGTTTTGATGGAAGAACACATATTTATTGCCAGGAATACACAAATTAATGTAATGGAGTTTTGGCGATTAGGCCCCGACGCCCGTTGAGCAGGAGTTTCGTTCGGGAGTGGAGAACCGATCCGATGAAACCCCCCGGGTAGCTTGACCCTGGTGGTGGTGAATGGATGGGTGGGGTCGGTCTGAAGGGGAGGGGCTTAGCTTGACCCTGGTGGTGGTGAATGGATGGGTGGGGTCGGTCTGAAGGGGAGGGGCTTAGCTTGACCCTGGTGGTGGTGAATGGGTAGTTGGGTTCGGTCTGAAGGGGAGGGGCTTTGCTTGGCCCTGGTGGTGGTGAATGGATGGGTGGGGTCGGTCTGAAGGGGAGGGGCTTAGCTTGACCCTGGAGTCAGAGGGACAGGAGGTGAAAAGGGGGGAGGAGGGTTGCATTGAGTCCAAGCGGCAAACTCTGGGGAAGAGCCGGGACGCCAATACGGAAGTGCCACACACTGCAGTTCATCTAGTGGCCAGTAGGAGCAGGGTGCAGAAGGGAGCAATTTCCATAGACCCCCATGTTAAAATGCCCAACTTTACAGCAGAAATAAACATGTTTACATCGTGGTTCAAAAAACCATATTCTCTGTATAGTTAGATTCCCCCTTCATGACTACTGTGTGGGGGGTGAATTTTTTCTCAACTCATCTGTTTAATTAATATTAAGCCTTAAAGCCTTTGCATAAATTAGGGCGTGGTCACTTTGATGGACACGCACATGCCTCACTGTCAGCTAACAGCAACTTGTCCACTCTGCTAGGCTACAACCATAGAGGCTACAACGTTAGTTAGTCGTAGTTACTGTACTTGACCCTTTAGCTTTAGCCGTGTTCGTGGTGATTGTGCCTTTTCGGGAATATTGTTACAAATACCAGACAATTAAAATGTCGTGCTGTGCGCTTGAATGTACTAACAGAACTTCCAAGAAGTCTAAAATGATAATATTATACATGTCGCAGGTGTTTGTGTGCTTGGTAGCTTAGCTTGTTACTTATTAGCCAGCTAAGGACGTAACCCTTTATGCATACATATACATTTTAGTTTATGATTCAGCCTTGGGTAAGACTTTTATAGTCTATGGCTATGACGCCCATAATGCTAAACGGGAGCAAATGTTAATAGGGGACCCAATTATCCCAGTGGTGGCCGCCGGAGCTAACGGAGCCGCAGGGGGCTAGCTCTAGCCGGCGTCCCGGAGCTAGCCCACTGCGGCTCCGTTAGGTCCGGGCGGTGGAGTCCGTCTTTTCTCAACGTGTGAATGACAAGCATTAAGAATAACAAAATATAGCTAATTCTCTTGCAGATTGTCTCATTTGATTTGAATGTAACGTTTATATATGGGAACTACACTGTTAGCAGTAACTTGGTATGCATGTATTTCATGTTAGCTTAGCTTCTTAGCCTGAGCTAGCTCTGTTTACTTCCAGTTCGGAGGCAGCTGGTCCCGCCTCGGCTCCGCCTCTTTGCTCTTATTTGGAGCAGGCGGGATTAGACTCTGACGTCACAGTCGAGCCGTTAGTGGCCAACTCCGCCTACTAAGGGCTTCAAGGCAACTCTGCAGAATCCTATGGGTGACGTCACGGACACTACGTCCATTTATATATATAAATGGACCAAGTTACTGCTAACAGTGTAGTTCCCAGGGCCGCCCCTCCCTACAGGCCAATCACGCAGGCTGCATGGGGCCCCGCCTTGCGCAGGGGGCCCCGCCCAGAGGGCCTGAGCTGCTGTGCGCAGTTCTCCGCTCAGTTCTCCGCGCACCCCCCGCGAGAGTGAGAGTGAGAGATCACAAGGGGAGCACGTCTGTAACCCGACACCGTTGTAATGTATCGACATCTGACCAATCACGGCTTCGATACGGCCACTAGTGCAGGTGAAGAGATGTCGGTGAAAAGACAGTTTCAGTCCGGCGCAAAAAACAAAACATGAAGAAACTAGAGCATCACTCGAAGGTGGGTTATTGTATGAGTCAAATGTACAACTTGCGAATGTTGTATAAGTCAAATAGCCAATTGCCATTAAAACATCAGCTGCAATTCACGACATGAAGAAGGCAGTCTCTGCAGAGCATATACTGTAGGCTAATGGAGATGCAGTTTTTTCCAGCATTCTTTATTTACCATTCATTCAAGTATGTTATGCCTTTTATCTGCTAATGTACAGGAGGAAGAGTGATACACTGTCTGTCTAGTTGGCTTACATAGCAGTTAAAGTTTACAGCCTAAAAAACATGGAGCATTTTTTCCCCCTTTTATTCATTTTTATGTCAATTTGCACATTTCATGGTGACGCTCAGCCTCTCCCCTTAACTCCTAACAGTCATCATCATGTCAACCACAACACAGAGAAATACTGATAGACATGTGTGTGTAGTGTTGATACATTGCTGACAGAGGGAACTACGTTTGAATACAGATTTAAGAAATATCAATTTTTGTCATAAGCATGTTTTGTCTTGACTATATTACAACTATATTATAATAAAAAATATATAGTATTTATATTATTGAATTGATTATGATTATTAGTAGAAGTAGTTTATTTGCATTCATTATATTTGAATCTTTATGAGGCTAGTATTTGGCAGGAAATGCCACATTTACCATTTATCTCACTGTATAAAAAAGTAACTGTTGATAATAATAATAATAATAATAATAATAATAATAATAATAATAAACAGGAATTATATTTGCAATTTTTTTTCACTCCTGTCGGTTGGGGGGGGGGCCTCATCTCACAATGTCGCTTGGGGCCCCAAGTTGGCAAGGGGCGGCCCTGGTAGTTCCCATATATAAACGTTACATTCAAAATCAAATGAGACAATCTGCAAGAGAATTAGCTATATTTTGTTATTCTTAATGCTTGTCATTCACACGTTGAGAAAATAAGTACCGATACATAGCAGAACAATTGTGGCGATGTTCAACTTAATAAGCCTTGTTCAACATAATTTATTTAGCTAATACTACAGCAGGCGAACCAAGTCTGCGTTTCGCTGCATTCCTTGATCTCCAGTTATAACGACGGACTCCACCGCCTGGACCTAACGGAGCCGCAGTGGGCTAGCTCCGGGACGCCGGCTGGAGCTAGCCCCCTGCGGCTCCGTTAGCTCCGGCGGCCACCACTGGGATAATTTGGTCCCCTATTAACATTTGCTCCCGTTTAGCATTATGGGCGTCATAGCCATAGACTATAAAAGTCTTACCCAAGGCTGAATCATAAACTAAAATGTATATGTATGCATACAGGGATACGTCCTTAGCTGGCTAATAAGTAACAAGCTAAGCTACCAAGCACACAAACACCTGCGAACGGGGTTAACATGTATAATATTATCATTTTAGACTTCTTGGAAGTTCTGTTAGTACATTCAAGCGCACAGCACGACATTTTAATTGTCTGGTATTTGTAACAATATTCCCTAAAAGGCACAATCACCACGAACACGGCTAAAGCTAAAGGGTCAAGTACAGTAACTACGACTAACTAACGTTGTAGCCTCTATGGTCTGCAAAAAGAATGGAAAATTACCAAGCTAGTACCACTACATGTTTTTAAAGCTCGGTTGGATGCTACAAAATCAGATGCTGTTGGTACCTGTACTTGTGGTTAAATATGTAAATTGTAATCCCTGTACATTTTGCTGTATGATGTCCTTTTGTTGTTCTGTTGTTTATGTCTTCTTGTGGAACCTACTGCTGCAGGTCTCCCTTGAAAAAGAGATCATTGATCTCAATGGGATTTTACCTGATAAAGAAAGGTTTTGAATTTGAATGGTTGTAGCCTAGCAGAGTGGACAAGTTGCTGTTAGCTGACAGTGAGGCATGTGCGTGTCCATCAAAGTGACCACGCCCTAATTTATGCAAAAACGTTAAGACCTAATATAAATAAAAGGGTCGTGTTAGAAAACAATTCACTCACAGATTCATAATCATGAAGGTGGAATCTAACTATATCGATAATAATATTTATTGCATCCATGGGTAGAAACATGTTTTTTTCTGCTGTAAAGTTGGGCATTTTAACATGGGGTTCTATGGAAATGGCTCCTTTCTGCAGCCAGTCCCTAGCGGCCCATGTATGAACTGCAGTGTGTGGCACTTCCGTATTGGCTTCCCGGCTGTTCCCCAGAGTTTGCCGCTTGTATACAGTCTATGGTCGAGTCACCTGAAATGACAGCTGTCAGAGGGGAGAGCAGATTTAAAAAGGGTTAGCGGAGCGCTATGATAGGCTTGAGAGAATAGAGCGAAGTGATTGGTTAAGCTGGGGAGTGACGCCCCCGATCACTTATTGAGAGGAGAGAGAGTAGTGATTGGTTAAGCTGGGGAGTCACTTATTGAGAGGAGAGAGAGTAGTGATTGGTTAAGCTG